TTAATATAGGGACAAATAAACGCTAACAAACATACCACAATGTCTGTTCAAAAAAAACAGTAAAACGACAAACAAAAACAACACACTGGCTGTTCTCGGCTCCTGGTCCATGGTGAAGCGCCGGGTCACGGCCGAGGGGAGATCCACCCCGCCCTGTGCGGCGATCGAAAGGAGCTCCGGCATGTCTTGGGAGGCACGAGCACCTGAGGAGACAGAAGGCGGAAGAAAAATACAGGCAAAAAAAAGTGAGGAAAAACGATTTGGAGGAGTGAGAAAGGCCAATTGATTGGCACAAGGATATACAAGGAGGCTTTGTTGTTGTTGTTGTTGCATGTGTTGCTGTGCGCACGGAAAACAATGAACCCTGCTGAGTGTTTTCATACAAACAAATTGGACAAAACAAAAAGTACATTAATGTTTGGAAGATCACTCAGAAAATAGGACATGACCCGGTATATTCCGGTATAACAATGAGCTGTTGCGACTTGTAACATGTCTTTCCAAAGCCCAAAAGCACACAATTTTCGCCTTTACTTCTTTTGGTAGAAGTCCTTGTCCGTGGCCGCAATCTGTGGCTTCATCACCTTAAACCGATGCTTTTCCCTTTCAGACCCGTCTTTTCCCAAGGAACCATAGGAGCCCACCAGGCTGATCCTTCGTCGCACCAGATGTGTGATGGGCACCTCCGCCTTGGTCGTGGCCGCGGCGATGCCCACGTAGCAGGCACGGCCGCCGTCGCGCACCGACAGGAGCGCCTGGGCGTCGAGTCGAAGGGGTGGTGGTTGATCAAGTAGTCGTGAACGAATCCAGGAGGGCAGGGTGGAGAGATGAAATAGCCACTTGGTTGTTGGCTTTGGGATGTGAAGACAGGTGGAAGGGAAATTGGAGTTCAAACATGTTTCACAACAATGCCGGTTCACTATAGACCCTGAATGGCAACAGTCTGATTCCCTGATTCTGAAAAATAAACAACTACTGAAGGGGTGCACTTAGATGATGAGGCAACTCTAGAAACATCAAACCTCCGTTCCGCCTTGGCCGGATTTGTTCAAGACCATCCACACTGATTGACTAGGTGTTCTTGTCTAAAACATATTATGTTCAAAACCTCATATATAGAAAATCCTTAGTGAAAAGGGATGGAGGTGTACAAGAACCTGTCAGTGATTTCACGGACAACCGGGCCCAGGCCCCCACGGCTGGAGGTCTCTGGAGCAAAATGGTGTCCGCTACATGAAAATGGTTTCCAATTAAGCAAGCAGGTGATGCTTGCAGCGTTGTCCAACAACTGAGAATCCGAATGCTTTACGTCAAGTGATCCAAGTGATCCCCACAATGGCATCGGACGCCGCACCCCAGCGCTGAGAGTGTGGGTCCGATATCTTCTGTCATCATTTCCGGCATTCTACGTGGCATACCTTCTGACATTCTTTCCAACATATATGTTGACTTACATTCTGGCATAAACGGTGACACTTTACCTGGCATCTATTCTGACGTCATGAGAGTTCTATTTGGCATCTATTGCAACGTTCTATTGGAAGTGTGTTGTGACATTATATTTGGCATCAGTTGTGGCATTCTATCTGAAATATGCTCTGGCATAAATTATTGCCACGCGGTCTGGCATAAATTCTGGCATTCTTTCTGACATCAGCACACCTGGTTCGGATCCGGTGGTGCCCACTACTGCGATCTGGCACTCGCGGTTCAGTCGGTTGAGGTCCGGTCATGCCCACTCAGCTCTGGAGCTGGAAGGAGGAGGCAAAGGAGGAGGAGGAGGAGGAGGCGGAAGCAAGTTTGATAGAGTCCAACAGCCCTCTGGCAGGTGGGAAAATACATCTCAAAATATCTTTTACTACTTGCCCATCCTCTATGTCTTCCCATCTCTGTTCTCAGTTTCGCTCATGTTCCCTCCTTCCCGACTTGACTCTTCTCCCAAACCTGCAGCATCGTCGCCTGTTCAAAGGTCGCTTTGGATCCGATCACCTCCAAACACACATCCGCCTTGTGGCCCTCGGTCACTGCCGCGATGCGCTCCAGCACATCCTCCTCAAGGCCGCCGCGATGCGCGCGGCCGCGACGCGCAAAGCACGAGGCGCATGATAAGAACGTCACCAGCGGGAACTGGATGGTCCACTCGATGCACTTAGTGCTTCCGGAGTGACAAGCTTTTGAAACGGCGAGCACATGGAACGAAAGAACCTCTTTTCAACAGCAGTTCCGAGACGGGCATGTAACATCATGTATACGTAATAATAGACTCGTAATATAAGGGGGTGATCAACTTCTACAATTTGTTGTGTTTGTCAGGAGAGCCGCAATAATGGTCACCTCTGGATTTTTTTGCATTTGCTGTCATTGTTTTCAGTTTGCTTTCATGTTGCTTTCATTGCTTTCATATTTATGTAATCTGTTTTCATACTGCTTTCATTTAGTTTCATTATGCTTTCATTTTCCATTCATTCTGCTTTCATTTTACTTTCATGAATTTGCTTTCATTCTGCTTCATTTGCACTCATCTTGCTTTCATTCTGCTTCCATGATGTTCTGGACATCTTACACATGACCTCCCTATAAAGGGAATTAAACATGGAACCATTCATGGCGTTCCTTGCGGGTTTCACGTCGTCACGACGTGGAGATGGCGATCCGTCGAACTCCTTGCGGGCATTGATGCAATGATCTGCCCCCAAGGTGGCCGCCATGTCCAATGCCTTGTCACTGATATCCACCTTAGGCCCAAAGCGTCAAAAACCACGGGACAAGTGAACAAACATGTGACATGTGGAGAATAAAAGACCACAAAAAAAAAGGTCTGTGCACAAAGAAAGGGAGAGCAAAGAAGAAGTTCCTACATGTAGATGGTTGCAGAATATTATCTGAGACTTCGATGTTAAACATAATCGAGTTGCTTGTCAAATCTTCTGTAGAGCTGGACCCACTGGATATGCTGCCCAGGCCATCAACATGGAACTGGTCTTCCTACCTCTCCTGCAACATGAGGGGGTGCCCTAGTCAACAAACATGAACAATGTAACAAAACACCCTGAGTGACGCAAACTGTCTGACCACCATACTAATTACTGGTCATCAACATCAAATGAAAGCACATGGACCCGTTAAAACCCCTTCAAGTTCATTTTCCTCTACACATCTCTACACATCCCATGACCATGTGAACGAGCAATACCAGCCGGTTGGTCTCTGTCGCACTGTAACGATCTTTTCTTCGTCTCCGAGGGGCTGCAATGATCGGTCCAGCACCCAAGTGCTTAGCCAGTTGAATGATGCCTTGCCTTGGCCGTTTGGGGAGAAAACAGAGATGTGTGGAGGCATGCCTTCAGGCCCTGAAGGCTCACAACTGGGGAGGAAGTTGGGAACACTTGACCTTGAGGCTTCGAACCAAGCAGCTAAACAGCGTTTTGGGGTATCCTTGCGGGAGGAAAGTGGAGTCTGGAAGCAAAGAGTGCAACTGGGAATCCTTGTGCCAACAAGACAAGAATCCACAAGAACACACAAGACCAATACATACATCATAATCGAAAATGCTACAATGCCTGCTTAAGTTCTGAGCATCTGACAAGCTTGCGCGTATCAAAACAGGGATTACGAAAGAAGCGATCATGCCATGCTAACCTCCTACATCAGTAGGCTAGGGCTGGGTTGAGAATGGTCCAAAGAAATCCAAAGAATGGAAAATTCCCTCTTCCATTCCCTGCCACACCTGGCCTCCCCCTTCCCCTGCCCAGACACCCAACTCCTCCAGCGCCGATGATCACTGTCGATTGCCCCGCGCGCAGCTCTGCAGCGTTGCGGATGGCGCCCATGGCAGTGAAGAAGGCACAGCCCAAGAGCGACGCCTTCGCACCAGACGTGGCGGAGACCGTGTGCGGAGACGGTGAGAAGCAGGACGGGACGATGGTCGGGCAGCTGAAGGCGAGAGTGAAGGCTGAAACTGGGTGGATGGTGGATGGAAAGCCGATGAGCGGACAAGTGTTTGAAAGGTCCGGACACTCTCTTCTCAGTCTCACTTTCATGTCTAAAACTTGTTCCCGTAGCCATAGAGGACTGCCGAACATTTCTTTTTCATGTATGTCTACATCTCAGACAGCTCCAAAAGCTTGGATCGAAATGCATGCCCCATTGATGCTTCGGGGCAAACGCTCAACTTTGCTGAGGGTGATTTAATTTTAGAGCCACAATTTGTCGCATTGCCTCCAGGAACTGCAGGGTCGGTGCCTAGTTTAGACACAACAGCCTGGCCAGAAAGGTGAAACATAAGCAGATGAACGGTAAAAGGACAAATCACATCACATTCATGAGGACAACATATCCGCTAATATATCCGCAACGTGGCTAAGCATCTGAAGAGATCTGATCTTTTCGTTCAACGGGCTCATGCCGCATCCAACAAGAGGCTTTTCGTTCGGTTCGTGGGATCCACGGGCCTTCCAGGTCCTTCCAGGTCCTTCGGGTCCGAAGCGCGTTTCTTCGCCTCCGGAAAGTGCTTCTCGGCCAAAGTGCTGGGCAATTCGAAGACGGCGGTCTGGGGGACCACGGCATACCTGGTAGAGCACGGAATATTTCGAGAGTGAGACGCTTTTTACGCCCAAAAACCATCTTGGGGCATACTGGGATGTTTCTAGGATGCACCAGACACAATTACTATATCGGACTATATACTGTAATATTAGGATTATATTTACATAACTGTAAATTCCTACGTTAAAGTTAAAGGTTCAAAAAAACACGAGCCGAAACAAGGTTCAGTGTCCATTGGCTTCTTCGTTTGTAGACTTTTTGTTCGACATGGTCATGGTCGGGTGACCTTCCGTGTGCAAACCTTTTTTTTTTCAGAGTGCCCTCCTCTTTTGCAGTGCCAAGCTGGTTGAAGATCAAACAAATGCGAAAAAATCATGCAAGCGTACTCAGCCATTCCTCAGCCTTTCATCCAACGACCTCAAGAGACCTGGATTCTGGATGATTTGGGTACACGTCGGGTGCTCTTCGGGCGGCACACCCCAGGACTGCAAGTGGAGCTGGTGCCCTGTTTGTGCAGGAAGATCCACACGAAGGGACCATCCTATGTGGATTCTGAAGATGTCTGATGGCCAGGTACGCTGAAGATGTCTAGGCCAAAAAGAACATCACCTTCGGCTTTGGGATCTCAACTCATCTTGACTCTCAACACTTTGTGGGATCTGGATGAAACATGAAGCACGTCCGCACGTCCCTCCAAAAACATGCGGTCCTTGACATACAGGGACTCGGGAAGACTGTGCACATGAAGTACGGTCGATTCATGACCGTCCCAATGAGCGTTTGTTTTTTGTCCAAAGGCCGATTCCCTATGTCCTCAGCTTTTCAGGGACCGCAGGACTTGAGGCTCAGATTTAGGGCAGCTGAATGTGCTCCCAGGTGCTCCGCCAGCCCGGCGAAGGAGTACATGGCGATCGGCTGACCATCTGTTGAATAAAGCCGGGTGCTGCCATCATAGAGCTGACCCTTCAAACCTCATGGCTAGAGTCCAAACTGACTGGCTGGGGTCCCCCAAAAAGACGTAGCGAGGGCAGGACAACTCGGGTCATCCATGTCATGCATCGCCTCGCTGGGCGGTGCACCTTGGTGCCGAAGCTCTCCGGAAAGCAACAGCCCACTCCTAGACCCTGAAAAACTCATATAGAATCTCTACATGACCGGTGCGAAAGAACATCAGCTTTCTTTGATTTCTTCGCTCCACTTGGGTTGGTGGACTTGTAAGAGCTCTGAAGGCCAAGCATGGACATGCAGGATACACTGATATACACACACCAGAACTTCACATCAGCATACCGATGTATACCAGCACCCTCTGACAGGTCACCTCGGATTTTGGATCACAAGTGGTGACTCACCTGTTGGATTGGAGGATGCAAGTCGACCAACAAAAATGTCCTTCAGCGACGACTCGGTGATGCACGGCTGAGAAGCGGTTCAACGCAAAGAATGGGGCACAGGTATCCTCCTCGCCTCTTTCACAGTGAAAGCAGGACCCGCAGGGCATGATGAAAGTGCAAGCCACTTTACCTCCCAAAGGTAAGCGTGATATATCCTTGCTGCGTGTGGTTAAAATCAAAAAAACAACTTTGTTTGGTAGACGGTCGCTAGAGGCAGGAATGCTTTCCCAAATACTTGAGTCTATAACTTATGAGTTGTATATTATATAATATATATATATATATTGTTGACATTCCTTTTTCTGCGCTGGAATTCCCGATCCGAAACCGCTTGGGCTACAAGAAAGCCCTCGGAAGATTGGATTTCTGAATCTTCTCCATTCTTCTCTCTGGGGTCTCGCGAAAGATGTGCGATGGTCAAAATCAGCAAAATGTCTTCTGTATCCACACACAAGTCTCCACACCGTCACCGTGTGCCACCACGGTTCCACTAATCTCATGTCCAAAGACCGCCGGGGACGGAAACGGCAAATCCTTCTTGATGCAATGAAGATCCGTGTGGCAAACGCCGCATGCACGTACTTTCACCAAGACTTCTCCCTTCTTCGGGCTAGGCTTTTGAATCCTCACTTGATGAATGGCCTGGCAACACCTGGCTCCCCAACAAACAAAACAACACGGCTTTCTTCATCATTCTTCCAATAGACTTATAAGATATGTTCCTCATATTATGTGTAGATGGTCTTTCCCCAAAAGAACCAACAATTGAATCTGCGCCGCGGCGTCATTTCCACCTTCATCTTGGACGGATCTGGATCACCGCGCCACAGCACCGCTCGCATCGTGGAGAATGCCTTCCCATCCGCTCGCAGCGGCGGACACCGCACACGGGCGAGCCGCTGCCACATGGTGGCCTTCAACCAACGGGAGGGTTCAGGTCGGTCAGGGCGGTCTGTTCCGGCGGGTCGATTTGGGAGTGAGAAGATTTCGACTGCAAGCCTGTGGAGGAGACGTAATTAGCCCAATCAAAGTCGATCTGCCCTGTCTATCTGTGGTCGAAGTGAATCAAATCCAAAGTTGATCTGATCTGTCATGCGGAGATGAAAGCTGGCCTGGCTGGAAGGCACTTGAGCCATTTGTTTGGTCGGTTTAGCGCACTCAAAGACCTGAATCGTACCAAACCCTGCCAACGGTCCAATTTGGGAGCAAAGTCGTAATTCTGCAGAAACTCACCTGCAGGGGAATGTTGAGAGATACACAAACAGAAGCAGAGCTGTGCAAAAGGTGGCCAACTCTCTTTTTTGTTGTTTGGTGATTAAGATTTGTTTATAACCAAAATGATCCAAAATGTCTCCTCACTCACACAAAAGGCATAGAAACTGGAGGGATCAAGCTCAGGATCAAGCACTGGTAAAGGCAAGGAAAATAATCTAAACTGCTGACATCTTCAGTTGAGTTGGGGGAATCATCGCCCTTGGGAAGTTGAAATTGCCGCCGATGCCTATCTTCCAGTCCCATGGAGTGTCAAAACAAGACAAAGTAAGACGACTTTCGATGATGTGGGAAAACTGGTGGGTTTTTATTCTGACCCCCGAGCTGTTTCCCTGAAAACATACAAATGAAACGAACTTCCACCTCTATCTCTTAGTGGAGTGTCCCCAAATGTCCCAAACTCTGCAGATACCTGTAGGTGATCCAATTATCCTACCCTAAGAACCCTTGGGCCCTCCATGACAAGGGGTCGGACCCGACCTCTTCGCAGGGTCCAAACCCTCAAAATCTTTCCCGTTGGTTCGGGCCCAAATTCTTAGAGTAGGTAATGCAAACTCTTGATGAATAAACCCCACATATGAAGAGGATGCTCGGGGGGTGGTTATTAAATTGAACATATTCGTTATTAATCTGTTTTATTATATACGTACATTGCTATTAGGTTGGAGGCCATTGCTAGTAGGTTGGAGGCCATCGCTGTTAGGTTGGAGGCCATCGCCATAAGGTTGGAGGCCATCGCTATTAGGTTGGAGGCCATCGCAATTAGGTTGGAGGCCATTGCTATTAGGCGACCTGATTTCCCAAGTGGCTTGATTCAGGTCGGCTCTACACCGCTCCGCCCACCGTCGCGAACCGAACATCCGAAAACAGTCCAGGGAGTCGCCACAGAAAATGGTCGAGCGGCACCTGCGGCAGGGGTCGGTGGCCGGGATGTTCCATGGGTCCAGTGTTTGGACCATGGAAACTGACTGCAAACAGAAACATGGCGTTTGCCCTGGAGTTGCAGCGGACAAAGCACTACACAGCAGTCACAAATTATAGGTGTTCAGCTGTTCCAGGATTGAACAAACACAAAACACACCAGTTTTGCATCTTCTTTCCTAGGGTTCCATCGGGCAAAACGCTTTCGGCTCTGCATCTCGATTGGATTCCCTGAGGTCCCAAGCGTTCGCGTTCCCTTCAAACAAACACTCCGTCACATATGTCTACGATCCATCGAGTACTATGGACTTCTGTCAAGTACCTTGGACCACACGGTACCATGGTAATTACACTCCCAGAAAAAGATCATGGAAGTGGACAACCACCGGTTTGTAGAGGAACATGGTCATTCAAGAGGCCATGCCATCCACTTCCATCATGATTTCAGGGAGTGTACAGTGTACCTGCTTTATGGTGATGTCCCATGTCTTCCCATTATATACAGGCTATGAGTTGTCCAGTTGCATCGTCATGCCCTCACCGATTGGCCGGGACGCTTTTCACTGGGTGTCCGCACGGCATGTTGATACCGAGAGCTAAAGTGCCGGTGGCAAAGACCACTCTCAAGTACCTGCAGAAAAGCAGCCTTCCAGCAAACCAAGCTCAGGCAACAGTTGGATCTTTGCAATGGATCAGGATCAGGTACTGATCAAGTGCTGATCAGGTATCTCGAATGGGTTTCTTGGGATGCCCACCTAAGAGCATCTTCATGGCGTGTTAGTCTCCTCAAAGCTCTGAATCTCGATGCCCGGCTTCAGTATCGTAAGCCAAGGGCACGGTATACCTAAACCAACACATCCGGTGCATGTACATGGATCATCAGGGATCCAGGTTCCCAAAATGGAAACATCTGGGTCTATCGGTCTATCGCTAGGCTCGACTGCAAGAGCTGCCAGTCCGTTGCTCGATGCTTGCGAAAAGAATGAACAGAGTGAGTGTGTGTTTTCTCCAGCCAGTGTCTGAAGCATACTTGAAGGTGATGAGAGAATTTCAACAGGTTGACAACTCATCCACTGCTAGGAACGGTCCAGGACCATGACTTGGGAAATAATCAGGAACTCAGGGAGGGCATCATCCGAAGCCATCCGGATCGACGAAAAAAACACCTACAGAAAACCGCTAAAGTCGGCCTACGAATGTATTTCCCCCATGGAGTTTCAGCAAACAAGCAGTCAAAGTCAATACATTCTTGTCTGATGATATGCCATATGTGCCATTGAAATTGATGCACATGCCTGAGGCTCGGTGGATAGGTCGAAGATAAAACCACCAAAATACAAGTGGGGACCGTCCGAAGACAAGCTGTGGTTCTATAGTGGGCTTGCGATGAGCATAGACAATAACTATAACACGTGATCATGAATTATCACATCAGTAACGATTCCCATAATTATAATTATTGTTGTTGCAATATGTTGCGATGCATCCATTTTCAGAGGGCGAACGGACAACTCCAGGTCTTTTAGATAGGAAAGCGAAGAGCAACATCCCATATGTTTGGCCTTCAGTATCGCATCCCATGGATTGAGTGGTAACTGCTCCGTAAATATAAAAACAACTCAAAAGACTCAAAAGAGTGCGGACCCCCCCAACTGTCTGCCACCCTGGTTGCTGTATACTGGCAAGTGGGAAAGAATATGAGCAAAACCAACCGTTATAGCTCTCAACTTCAATAAAAGGGAAAACACGTGATCCCTGTGCCAAGCAGGGCACCCTCTGCGAAAAAGGATCTCCACAGCTTCCTTGTATGGTCTCCTTGGAACCCAAAAGCAAAGGCATCACAAGCTGCTGGACTCTAGAAAGGACCAAATGCCGTCCTCCAGAAGCGTGACCCTGGCCCATCTGTAGATCCTTTATGCTCGTTTTAATGCTCAATGATGTCCCTCTTTTTGGAGTAAGACCCCCGATAGTCGGGGGTGTCAAATCCAACAACACTTTTTTGGGGAGGTGTGTTCATTTGGACTGTGCGGGTCTTGGTCGGACAGCCAAAAAGGGATGGCGAAGTGAAGGCAAACTAGCACGGCATAGCAAGAACCACCCTTATCCCTTGGCAAAGTAAGGTGCCTTTTTGGATTGCGGGGAACTGCCAAACTGGCAGATGTTTTCCATGAACCTTGTTGCAAATTCTATCGTCCCTTCATGTACTCCAGGGATCTCCAGGGAACGTACACGGTCCGGTCATTTGAACTGAAGCATGACAGGATCCATGTATTTATATAATATTATATATATATAACTTTCTCACGTTGTTCAATCGTGACTTATCATGATTTGCTAGGAGATGAAGCCCCGCAACAGTTGAAGGTTCACCCTGAAACCACTAAGCGCAAAGTTGTTACAAGTTTTTTAGAGGCCAAACAGGTGAACATCCTCAACACCTCCACCTTTCATGTCAATGAACTCCTGCCTCCCACGGAATGTTTCGCTTCGCGCGTGGCCCCCTGAGAGGCCAACTTGAGACCCTCATGGTGCATCCCAATGCCTCTCCTTCACGCGCGGATGGACCGCTAATCCCGGAGGCGATCGATGGATCACGGCCGCGGAAAGCGTGCGCTCGAGCGAAAGCGTACGCCGCGCCAAATGGCCCAAACACACAGGTCAACAGGCGTGGCTTGGGTCAACAGGAACGCACATGGTCACGAACAATACATAGCAGATCATAGCAGTACGACCTTTTTTTGGGTAATTAAGATTAAGAGGGCCCAGTGGATGATGATCGTATATGATTGTTAGGTTGTGAAGGCCAAGATCTCGAAAATTGTGACAATCTTTTGCTGACTGTTACTGGCTATGGGCCCCACACCCTAACCTCAGTGAAGAAAATGTCTGTGTTTCAAATCCTTGAGGAACTCTCGAATCAAGCGATCCAAGTGTTGATCCGCAGTGCCTTGCCGGTGCCTCGGTCTTTTGGGAAACCTCTGAACGTTGTCCTAGGTCTAATCGGTCTGATTGTATCATATGCTGCTGATGGGTGGGACCTGCTGCACCCCAAAGATCCACACAAATAGTGGAAGACACCGGACACTTCGGCGTTCTAGTGGCATCGTTTGCCTTAAAAGCAAGTCTCAATCAAATAAAGAACTACAATAAGCTTTGGGACGTAGGGTACCAATGCAACGGAGAATTGAGGTCACCCACTTTGTTTCACCCTTGAATCTTTTTGGGAATCAGTCCGATTCAAAGGTTCAAGTAATAACTTCTGAAGGCTTGTATCCCAGTGCTGTGTCTTTCCATCAGGCGATGGCCGTCGCTGCAGGGGATCCGAAACGGTCCGATGGGGACCCGGTCGGGTGGGATGTTTGGTCCCCACCAGAAACGCTGAAGACCAAGGACCTACTGTCCAGGAACCGGGAACCAATGACTGTCGACTGTCGTGGTTCCCAGCAGTTTGGGGCTTTTCCACCCCGGAAAACCGGGTGACTAACCCCACCTCACCCCGTCACCGGGTGATTCAGCATGATTCAGCCGGTGAACGGGAGAACCCACATGGCCCGGTATCAGCGCCCAAACCCCGTGAACCAACCGTTTGGACGGACCTGACCAAGTTGCGGCCGATCCGCAGAGAAAGCACGCACGACCGTTGATGGCG